GAACTCTGAGGAAATACATTTCTTTTACTTTAAGCTGCTCACTTTGTGTATTTTGTTACAGGTGTCTTAGAAAACAAATACAGATGACTCTAAGGTTTTTGTCTTGAGCCAGCTGCAAAAATGGAGAAATCACTTACTGAGAAGCACTGGGATCAAAGGTTTGTGGGGGGGATTGAGAGCTCAGTTTTTAATATATCAAGCTTAAGCTATTTGTTAGGTATCCAAGTGAAGATGTTGTGTAAGTTTGTACAAATACAAGTATGGAGTTTGGGGCACAGAGAAAGGTCTAGAGAAATAAATTTACAAGTCATATGCTTGGCATGGAGAGTATTTAAAGCAAGAGGCCTAGACGATATTATTGAAGGAACGATCAAACAAAGAGGAGAAGTGTAAGGATTGAAGCTAAGTGCAGCAAAGGACTATCAGAGACTTTAGGTCAAGTCTGGACTAAAAACCTGCTAAAAAATACACTCTAGCAAAAACAATAAGCAAATGTTAAAAAAAAAAAAAAGACTTGAGACACAAGAAACAATGACCAATTAAGGAGCTAACAAATAATTGTTAAGGTGTAATGCTGGAAAATGGTTCTAATAATGACAATTTGAAATACGGTAATCTCAAACTGAGAAATGATGGTGAGGGAAGACCAAACTAAAACTAATTGTTTTATATTTGGGGGTAGAATATGGATATAAGTTAATTGTAGGTGTTGATAAAAATAAGTTTAAATAGGTTAATGTATTAAACATTAAAAGGCAGTTACTAGAAACACAGGATATTATGTATATGTTTGAAAACCCTAAAGGAGGAAAAAAAAGGAACAAAGAAAGATTAACCGAAGAAGAGGTAGAAAATTTGAAAAAGCCAATAGGCATACAAGAAAATGAAAATATAATTCGAGATCTACTCTTAAAAGAAAATTATGTACAGTATGTCTTACGGTTGAGTTACTTCACGCCTTTAAGGAGGGGGAAACTGGCATGTTATTTAAACTATCCCAGAATACAGAAAAAGGTAGAAAGCTAAAGAATTCATTATAGAAGGCAGTTATATTCCTGATGTCAAAACTGAACAAACATACACAAAAAGATAACTAGACCAAGATCACTTATGAACACAGGAGTAACATTCCTAAATTAAATATTGGCATATTGAATCCAAGAGTATCAAATGAACAATACACCATAGTCAAGGAAGCTAATAATAGGAATATACAGGTGATTAAAAAAATTAGAGAATCTATTAGTGTAATTTTCTATATTAGCAGATTAAAAAAAATTATGAACATCTCAATAAATACTGAATAAATTTCAACTAAATTCAAACTTGTTCTATTCATATATACTCTGGAAAACAGATTAGCAATTGCTAGGGATTGGGGTACAGCAGGTGTTGACTAGAGAGTATCAAGGGGGAGTTTTTGGTGGCGATGAAATGCTTCTGTACCTTGAGTGTGGTGGTCTCAAAACCTGCAGGATACTAAAAAAGAGTAAATTTGCTACTTGCGAACTGTACCTTAAGTTTTAAACATGAAAAAAAATTAAATGTTCAGAAAGCTAGAGATAGAAGGAAGCTACCTCAGCTGGACCTATAATATGCAATTCTTATACTCACTGTTAACAATTATACTCAATGATTAGAATAATCCTTATTAATGTCATGAATATGACAAAAAAATGTATAGACTCCAGCTGACACAATAAGAAGGATAAAATGGCACGCATTTGTTATTTGCAAAACTCTTAACAGCTTTTTATTTCATGTAAAGCCCCAAATCTTTTAGTGGCCCTACTGTCCCAGCATAATGTGACTGCATTTACCTCACTGTGTCACTTACTGTTCCTTGCCTGGGTTGCTCTGCCCTGACCCCAGTGGCCCTGTGGTCCCTCCAGCATGCAGGCACTTTCACTTCCATCTGCCCAGAACTCCCTTCCTCAACTTGTCTGTGTGACTCACTCCTTCTCTTCCTTCAGCTCAAGTGTCACCTCCTTAGGATGGTCTTTCTTAAGCTCTCTATTTAATATTCATCCACCCCCATTCACCATCAGCATCCATTATCTTCCTTTCACTATACATCATAATCTAACATGTTATGTATTTTACTGCTACATATTCTGTTTCTCCCCACTTGGAAAATATAAGTCTACCAAAAAAAAAAAAAAAAATCTAGCAGAATGAAAAGGAGTTCAGTAAACAGATATATATATAATCCAGTAGCATTCCTTTTCAATTCTCTTGAATAGATACCCAGGAGTGGAATTGCTGGATCATATGATAACCTGATGTTAAACTTTTGAGGAACTGTTAAAGTGTCTTTCAAAGAGGCTGCTTCTTTTTAGATCCTACCAGCAATTGATAACAGAGTTCCAGTTTCTCAATACTCTTGCCAACACTGATTATTGTTTGTTTGCCTTTGATTTTAGCCATTTAATAGGCTCTTAATTTTTTTATTTTTTATTTATTTTTAAGAGTGAGAGAGACAGAGTGTGAGCAGGGGAGGGGCAGAGAGAGAGGGAGACACAGAATCCGAAGCAGGCTCCAAGCTCTGAGCTCTTAGCACAGAGCCTGTGAGATCATGACGGGAGCCGAAGCTGGATGCTAAACTGACTGAGCCACCCAGGTGTCCGTAGCTCTTAGTTTTTTTTAATGTTTTATTTATTTTTGAGAGAGAGAGAGAGAGAGAGAGAGCGAGAGCAAGCAGGACAGGGGCAGAGAGAGGGGGACAGAGGATCTAAATGGGCTCTGCGCTGACAGCAGCGACCCCGATGTAGGGCTTGAACTCGCAAACTGTGAAATAATGACATGAGCCAAAGTCAGACACTCAACCAACTGAGCCACCAAGGTGCCCCTGATTTTAGCCATTTAAGTAGACACGAAAGAGTATCTCCCATGGTTCTGATTTGTGTCTCTAATGATTAACAGTAGCAATAGTGTCTTTTCATATACTTAATCAGGCATTTGTAGATCTTCTTGGGAGAAATGGCTATTTAAATCCTTTGCCCATTCTTAAAATGAGTTATCTTTTCATTGGTGGGTTGTAAGAGTTCTTTATATATTGTGTCACTACCTGTTTTAGTAAATAAAATTTTATTTGAACATAGCCACATTCATTCATTTAGGTATTGTCTGCAAAGCCTAAACTGTTTACAATGTTATCCTTTACAGAAAAAGCTTGTCAACCTCTGATTTAAAAATAAGTTATTGGGAAAGAATTAAAGAAATATACTGAAAAACAAAAACAAAAACAAATGGACAGTCCTGAAACAAATTCAATTGTTGACATAGGTGGCATTTCAAACCAGTGGTGGGGGTAGGGGGGACATGGACTAATTAGTTGGTAGTGTAACAATGATTTCCTAACCACTGAAAAGAAGAAAGCTAGAATCCTATGTTATACCATCCACAAAAACTTTTTTAAAATCCAAAAACGAAACTATAAAAAATGAGAATAAAATAGAGAACACTGTTAGAATGTTGGAGCAGGAAATAATTTTTCTCTGACATAAAAATTAAACACTTTACTAGTATAAAAGGTACATAAATAAGGTTGTAAGAAAATAGTTGCATCATATATAACAGACAAATGAATAAGATATAAGGAGTTCCTATAAATCATTTTTTAAAATTGGTAATGGCTACAAATGGGCAATTTGTAAAGGAAAAACGGTCAATGCTCAAACTTCAAAGTAATTGGAGAAATGCAAATTAAAACAATGGGATATCAGTTTTTCACCCACACTACAGACACAATGATATAAAACCAGATAATGTTAAACGTTGGCAAGATGCATAAAAAGTACTATTGAAACACAGTCAAAGCTAAATATGGTTTCTCATGTTTCCAGCACCCAATTCCTATTCTAGATATCTGTACTGGAGATATTTAATAAGAGATATACAAGAGACATTACAAAAAATGTTGGTTGTGCTAATGCTTGTGATAACAACAAACCATAAACAATTTCAATATCCATCAAAAGGAGCTTGACCAAATAAACTACAGTTCATATGACAAAAGATTGTGCTGCTATTAAATAATGAAGAACATTTCCATGTATTTACTTGGAAAGATCTCCAAATACACTTTGTTAAGGGAAATGAAAGGCAGCTCTTAGAATGGAATTTACCACTGTGATAATTATAATGAAATGTTATTTTAATAATTCACTGTAAAAAGTTGCAATGCTGGTATTTAGCAATGATATGCATTCAAGGTATCTGAAAAACTCTTAGAAGAAATGTTTGTAGAACTATACCACTTAAGAGTTTTTTAAAACTGCATATGCACATATATGTATATAATGCACAGCAAAGATGGCTAAAAGGGTACACACCAAACTCTTGAGAGTAAACTCTGGGTAGGGAAATAAAATCTGGATGAGGGTATTGGACACTTTTATATTTTGCTTCTACTTGCATAATTTTATATTTATGAATATGTAGTTAAGTGTTAGTTGTATGGTGAAGAATAGAAAATAAAACCTATTAGACTCACATGTAATTTAAATAGATATATTGTGGCTGATTTTTTGAGTGTGTGCTTGTCCTTAGAAAATATGGAAATTTGTCTTTTAAAGTCCTAGAAAATATTTTAAGGTTTACAAAAGATCCCCAAGAGCAATGATATACTACATGTCTTCAATTCTAAGACATTGATTTTAAGATACATCATCAATTTAATAATAGCTTTTCAGGAGAAAAAAAAGACACAATCACACTGAATGTATAACATGATTGTAAGATGCATTTCAATTTCACAAATGTTTTTAGATAAAATGACAATTATAATATGCATCACATTTTGCAGAAAGTATGGAAGTCAAAGCTTAATTTTCTCCTTTTGATGAATAAATACATGCTTGCAAATTGTTGAAAATCAAAGCCATATGCCTCTGGCAGGAATATTTACAGAGGAAAAAACAACCAAGGGAAAATCCACTATCCACTAAAAATCTCTGTGTGAGTAAAGCATATTCCTCCTGAGTGTTGCAAGATCTCACCTTATTTGGAAATGGAAATTTGCTTGGTTCCACTTTGCCAGGTGCTTGAACAGCAGAAAGTGGTGGGAGCCAGGTCATCTCCTAAAGAGAGGGAAAAAACACAGCTTTGTAATACAGAGATTATTTAAAGTCAGTAGCATATAAAACAGCTATATGAGCCTGCCTTAATACATGGAAGGGACAGGAATGAACAAGAGATGAATAAAGAATGAAAGGGATTTTTTAAAAAAGGATGTGAGACCCACTTTCATGATTTCTTTTCCTAATTTTACCAATTCTTGGTTCCATGGCTATCCCCATGCTCCCTTTATATCTTAAAAAGATCTGCAAGGCTGTCCTATTTTTTACTTCATTTAAGCTCCCGAGTAAAGGGACAACCCAGTAGTAAAAGCTCTATGGAAAATGCTGTACAAAGGGGGCTGCTTCTCTTGGACTTGATCCCACAAAATTTCACAGGGTGTTTCTGAAGGAATGTACAAAGTACTTCTGACTTTAGGGTCATTATTAGAGGACTTTTTTATTTTGTTCAAAACTAATATTAGTATGAGTTTTCAATAAGCCCCACAAATCACTTTGGTCTTCATAAAAATTTCCTTCATGGAGAAGTAAAAAAACGTATCACATGTATGAAATAGAGAGAGAAGTAAGTATCTTGCCATTTTTATAACACAGTGTTAAGAATACAACTTCAGCTCAATGCACAGTCCTCTGTGGTATGTGTTTTGACACACACGTACACTGCACTGTGTGAGAGAGAACGGTTGTTTATTCACTTATAGTTTTCTCCTCCAGTTCCACCTCCTGGAAGGGATGTGCAGTCACTAAGTGATTGCACAATTAAATTCAATCAATTTCTGATCACCAGGAAACTTACTCGGTGTTTACAAGTAGGGTTTTAACCCGTTTTTTTTTTTTTCCTTCCACCTTCAAACCCAAGCAAGCATAGAAACAGTAGTTGATCTGTTTTAAGCAAAGTGAGAAATTCTTTTTAGTTGAAGACATTTTCTCACCTCACTTGGGAAAAAGGGATTCTGTCAGGTTTTTCAAGTCAAAGACATTCTTAAGGATGGTCTTGTGCGTTTTGTTTTGTTTTGTTTTGGTAACTCTCCTCCTTCAATACCTTAGATAGTGCAGACCCACACTGGGAGCAGACAGAGTCAAACCCACCCGGGGAAGTATTTATTGACCTTATTAACATCTCTCACCCACCCTAACACCTGTTCTGTAGGTGGGTTAAGCTCATATGCATTTGAGATGTCCCTTCTCCATTGTGCTGTTACCAAAGTGTTTTCAGTGGAAAGCAAAGGAAGATCCAGTGACCCTCTATGTCCCTCTCTCCTCTTAACTCTGCTCCCCAAGTCTTGGCCAGTTCTATCCTGTATCTATCCATGTTGTCTCTTTTGAGGTAGTTATGCAGGAATGCTGAGTTAGTGTCAAGGAACAGAGTGGGTGCTCAGTATATTTTTGGATGAAGGCCAAATTGGGACAGTATCTCTTCAATATCTCTACCATACTAATCACAACTTCACTACTTTTAACCTGAATTACTTTAATAGCTTCTTCACTGGTTCTTTCTTTTGCTGTTATTAATCCTTCTGCTACACTCCTGCCAACTTAATTCTTCTAGACTACAGATCCAGATGAAGAGCTTCACTCCTCCAAAATTTTCACATCCCACTATATACATAACAATATGATGACGACCATGGCCCAATGACTCCTGTTGTGCTTTACAGTTTTCACAGTATTTCCACACAAGATTTTAAATTTACACTCAACCTTTAATTATTACTAATTATTATTGCGTCCATATTGCTCAAAGAGATTAACTGATTTGCCCAAGTTCACTCAATTCATAACTGCCACCGCTGAAATTTGCACATATATCTCATACCTCCAGCCCACTATTTGTCTTTCACTTCACTGCATTTGCTCTTAAAGACCTCATCCTAGTATTCAAGACCTTCTACAACAAAGTCTGTTTTCCGCCTTGTGCCTTTTTATTAATCTACACGCACAGTACGTATAAGAAAAACTACACCTCTGTTTTCATTGACACTATACTTTTGTGTGTGAATGTCCTGCCCTCATATGCACTTTGGATTTCTATCCATCCACTAAGGCTCATCTTAAACATCATCTATGTCTTGAGGCCTTTGCTGATTCCCCTTCCATTCCAAGATGATAAGACGGTTCCCTTCTCATGCTCCTCCAAAAGTATTTGTTTTTCTCTCTCGTAGTACCTGTTAGATTATTTTTTGTCTTACAGTTTTATGAGTACATACCTCAATCTGCACACAACCATTTCTCCCTCTTTCCCCTCCCATTCCTTCCTCCAAAGTAGAACAGAAATCATACTTAGGAATCTCAATAATATGTTTCAATAACATTCAGATCTATTAAACATAATCCTTTAAAGAAGGACTGAAAATTTCTTCAGTCAGAGAGGGATACTGCCAACATGTCTTTGTGTAGACTGAAGCACATTATAAATACTAAACACTCAAAATTAACTCACTGAATTGAACTGAACACCCATATTTCAATGCAAAACTGCTCACTAACTTTATTTTAATTCTAACTATTTCTATGTAATTTTTCAACCTAATGAGTTCTGCTAAATATATGAAGGAATGATAAACGGGTTGCTTAAAACATTTAAATCTTTAGAATTTCCAAAAAAAACATAAGAATTCTTTACACAAACTATTTAAATATATACTTTAAAAATCAATGTGCGATGATTTTTTAAAAGATTGATCATTTATTATGTAAAAATTCTCCATTAGGGTTGGATGGGAAAATTAAGAACAAATAGATTATTCCTATTTCCTCTTCTGTCACACTAGCTCAGTGAGCTTACGTAAGTGACATCTTGAGTAAATTGTAGTGATTTTAAAACCACAGACTTAGGAATCAATCAAATCTCAGCTTGTAGTATTTTAGAACCAGAGGAAATAGAGATGTTAACAATCTCATGGTTTAATCATGAAGATTAAATGAGATAATACATATAAGGAGCATAGCATGTTCCTTTATGTTTAATCACTCTATAAAAGACAGTACTGATTAACATCAAACTGAGTTTCAGAATTCTGGGTCTCTAAACTGAGAAACAGAATTTCTCTCTGAGCTTTAGATATTGGGATACTGAGATGAGAGAATACATGGGAAAGTGTTTTGATAAAAGAATGAAGTATTATGCAAATGTAACCTGCAATTAAGCTAGCAATTATTAACACAAACTATAGAGTGCTAAAACAGAAACTTATTTAAAGCAATTACCATGATTCCTAAGAAAGAATCATAATAATGATTCTTTACACTGTCCCTAAGTTTTCTCATGGGAACAGAGCCTTGACAAAATAATAATGAGATTTGTTTTTTTTTAAGCGTTTAATTTATACCTGTTTCTAGTAGTTTAAAATGTAAACAAAGGTATAATTTTTGATAACTTCTAAAATTTCACTTAGTTTGTCTCACAAAATATTCTTCACAGGAAAAGATTCCTACCCATTGCAAGGTCATCAATCCCATGCCACTGTGCCCATTGTCCCCCACCCCCACTCATGCTCTTGACTTCCTCTCCTCAACCATCCCATCATCACAGTGGCTATCCTGTAGCCATTTCCTGGATCACAGAAGTAATGTAAGGCCAATTACTCCAGAGTTTAGGTAGTTGCTTTCTGAACTTCTAATGTCCCTTGCCACTTCTTTGTCTGCCTTCCTTCCTTTTTGATTTTCTTGCCAGTTAGGAATGAGGTCACACCCTATTCCTCAACACTGAGAGGGCCTCAGTTTTGAGCTTAGGTTCCTTAGCCAACTGGTAGGATTAAGAATAAGACATATCTGTCTTAACACAGCCTCACTAGTCCCATCTCTCCAAGCAGATGTCTAGTTACCCAAAGGATACATTTCAGGGTGTCTTCTTATTTCTTATATAGGCTTAAAATGCCAAGTCTCTTTATAGTAAATACACTCACTTTTCTGCTAAATGAAGTAACAGATGGTTCAATGATAACGGTATAGAATACTGCATTTCATTAACTGTCCAACTTTTTTTTTCTATCCTCCTTATACTGGTTTTCTGAAGGCCATGGGGCATACAGGCCAGTGTCCATTTTCACATCTATTTTACTGTAAGATTGACCTTGAGTCCCAAGAGTCCAGAGCTTAAAGGTGAGCAGACTTTCATGTACTCATTTTGCACAACCCTCTCCCTCCATGCAGCTCCCCACTTACTCTGGTGTCACCTTCATCAGCCTGTCCTAGGACAAATGGTCAGGGGCTTAGGGCATCCCTTCATTAAGCAGTATAGCTCTTTGTTATTCAAGGCAGTTGAATTTTAGCCTGAAATCTTAGTGTTCAAAATATACAGTATAAAGATCTGCAAAGTATAGTTAGTTTGCAAACAGAGGAAACCAGAAAATTTTTGAACAACATTTAAATTTCCCTATTAAAATCAGCAAATAGAGAAATACTTTCCCTGGTCTCTCTCCTTGCCTACTGTCTCCCCACTACAATCTATCCTGATCACTGTCACCCAAGTGTTTTATTTAAAATAGTTACTATGCTACACTTGCTCAAAAGCTTCCAGTGACTCTGGTCCAAGCATTCAAGATGCTCTGTCATATGGTGCCATCAAGAAACACTGCAGTGTTACTGCTTGTTACTTTTCTGTACGGTCCTCCCCACGAGCCAGATGGGTTTACTTCTTGTCCTGCCCTAGGTTTTCCTATCCTGACATTTTTTTGCTTTTCCTTTCATGTTTTTCCAACTGCACTTATCTCTTCATTCTTTCTCATCCCTCGTCTCTTTATGAAGGTCACTGACCAGCGTGATCCTTAGCGAGAGCCACACCCTCCACCTCTCCATTACTGTGATCTGTGTCCCCTACTTAACATTTCCTTGCTACCTGGGGCTGTGACTTTACCTTTCATGTGTTACCACTATCAGATTATGAATTTATAACCCTTGTTAGATTAGAGTAAAACCTCGGTTTGTGGGCATAATTCATTCCAAAAACATGCTTGTAATCCAAATCACTTGTACATCAAAGCGAATTTCAAGAACCGGTGGCT